GGAGCCGCGCGGTGCCGCCGGCAGGATGCTCCAGGGCAGCCGGGGCCAGTGCAGTGCCTGCTGCATTGAGCTGGGAGGCTGCTGCCCAATTGCTCTGCTCAGCCCTACCCCACTAGGTACCCACGTGGAGGGAAGCAGGAGCCCTCCTCGGGGAGCAGCCTGGCTTTTTAACCCTCCCAGCTCCGTCAGCGCAAGGTAAGAGGGAGTGAGGGGTACAAAGGGGCCTGGCAGCCACTCTGCCACCCCCCCCGGCAGGCTGTGAGCCAGCTGGCAGGACCCTGGAGCCCTTCTTCTTGTCCCACCAGGGAGGTGACAGTGTCCGAGCAGAGGGTGCTCCTATCCCCTGAAACCGGACACAGCAGCCTTGTGCTGGACTCAGCAGAACAAGTTTCCGCTGAGCCGCAGTATCGCCGGGTCCCATGCCGGACGTCTCAGTATCATGCGAAAATCCTCGGGCCAGCTGCTGTGAGTGCCCTTCCCTGCCGTGGCACGCACCGCTCGCAGAGGCCCAGCTGCAGGAGAGCAGAGCCTTTCCCAGGCCCGCGGCAGCGGCAGATGTCTCACGAGATCAGTCGGCCGAGGAGACTGGCCAGAGCTGCCAAGTGTGACAGCTCCATCAGGCTCCTGTGACAGGCGGCGTCCTGCTCCGAGCCCTGGGGCCGAGTGGCCAGGAGGGCACGGCTGGCCCTGGCCGTGCGGCGTGAGCGGGCAGCACGGTGCCAGGCTCGCCGCCTCTCCCCAGCAGGGCATGTGGAGCCCTGTCTCTGCAGAGATGCTCAGCAGGGAGATAGTGGCTGCAGGGGCATGTCATCGCGGAAGAAGCTGGGTACTTGCCTGCCCTACACACCCGGTTTGTGCCAGTGCCCACAGAAGCCCTTTTGTATTTACTGGCCAACTTTTCCAGCCGGGTGGTGCTGCTATTCCCGACCTCCCTGCCTCCAAAAGGATTTAGGGCTCTCCTGGGGACGTTCACAAATGGCGGTTGGGCCAAACCCATCCCAACTTTACCCACCTTTGTGGAAGCAAACTTGGCAGACACCTGAGCATCCCAGGAAGGACTCCTCCACACATACTGGCCTTTCCCTGCACCAGGGCAGCTCCTGGGAGGTGTGCCCCCCGCCCCCCCCCAATTAGCAAGGCTCCAGCAGATGCAGCGCTGCTCCTCCTGTCTCGGCACACCGCTTGCCTGGTTGCCCGTGCCTGCGGCTCCACATCCCAAGCCGTATCCGTCCCCTAGCCATATCCATCACCTAGCTGCGTTCATCACCTAGCTGTATCCACCACAGCTGCCCGCTGAAACACCTTCTGCTGCATCAGCAGTACTCTCCACGCTGCTCCCGCAGCGCCGGCTGCCAGCGCTGCCCAGCCCGCTCTGCCTGTACTTTTCCTGCCTCAGTTGCCAGCTCTGCAGCCCCGACTCCTCAACCCACAGGCACTGCTGGCATCCTCTCAGGATCCCCTGGGATGCCCCTGTGTCCTGCAAAGCCTCCTGCTTTCCCTCTTCCCTCCTGGTTCGTGCTCCTGGCCAGCTGGGAAGGAGAGCGAGCTGCAAAGGGAGCTGGAGCAGGGCTGAGGAGTCTCTCAGAGTGCCCTGGAGCTGACCGGCCGGGGCACCCCGGACATGCAGGCAGGGCCTTACGCAGCATCCCTGTGAGCTGCTCTCACACCCCAAAAGAAGCCATCCTGCTCAGGGAAGCCATGCTGTAGTGCTGTACCCAGCAAGGGAGGTATACAGCCTCACCTGGTCCCGGGGGGAGCTTTGCCGGGACACGTGCCTTGTGCCAGGAAGGGTTACAGCCCGGAGAAACGGTCAGTGCTGTCCCTGCACTGTGAGCACGGCGGCACCTCCTCCCCCTTCCCACCAAGCCTGTTTTCGGGATGCGTCACCTCCAGCAAATTGCAGCTCCGCACAGGGGTCTGGTTGTCTAATGGGCCTGGGCGCAAAGGTAAAGCTCTGTCTTCGCACGCCGCGCCGTCGCAGGCCTCCATTAGGAGGGCCCCTACACCGCCTTGGGGGCTGTGGTGCGCGGAAGGTTAGGTCTAATGGATGTGACGGTGAGGAAAAGGTCGTGGAGAAGCGAACTTATGTGCAGCCAATTATCCCGGAACAAGCTCACGGTGAGAAAAATAAGTTTTCAAAGTGTTCCCTTCGGCGCCGGGCGGACTCCCCCCGCAGCCGTGCCCATCCGTCGGTGTCGGGCTCTGTGTCCCCATCCGTGGCTG